GTATAGCAATAATAATTAATATTTTATTTTTCTATTCTCCTTAGTCATTAATTATTTGCATAATTTTTTATATGTTTTCGCATCATAATAATGTATAGGGAGGTAAGAACAAAATTTTATCTAATATTTCACAGTAGGCTTACATTGCAATAGTACAAAGAAGATAAGAAATAATCGAAATATCCTTAACTAGTATCAGATTTAGTTCAGGTAAAGGTAGGTAAAAAACAATCTTCTTCACAATCGTCTTTAATTTCTACTGAACTATGAAACCCATCAATATCCGACAAATTCAGTAATTGGTAACCAATTTTTAAATGAGATCCAATAGTTACTGAGGATTTTTATTTCGAAGAAATTTGTTTTAATCATCTGCAATCAGCCCACGCTGGTTGCCTTCAAAGTGGATGCATTCCATTTTATAGGAAATCACGTTAAATAACAAGGAAATTAATGTCATAAATCAAAACGATTTACAGATAATAATAATATTATTTCAGACTACAAATTCCTTTTTTTGAAATTTGAATTTTGAAATACTATGAGTTTAATTTTTAACAGAACCTCATTGACTTAAGTGTTTTTAATATTAATCTATATATAAATATAAACTAAATAATAAATAACTACAGCTAAGTGAAATATAAACTAAAGTATTTACAACTAAAGTTAACATGAGGCATGACCCGAGACCCCTTGCCTGGCAGTCGCACTTGCGACCACTCGGCCAACGAGGCAGTCATAAGTCGTGTAATTAAAACTGAACCAACTAATTATATAGAGATATATTTTAAGTAATCTATACTTAATGTTATAAAGCTGAAGAGTTTGTTTTTTGTTTGTTTGTTTGAACGCGGTAATCTCCGAAACTACTGATTCGAATTGAATAACATCACGCTGCGACCAATAAGAGCGAAGAAACCGTGATAAATGTGTGAAGCTAGTTTACCAAAAATTTCGTTTTATGGTAATTCTTTAGTCATTATTATATTTTATTCGATTTACGTAAGTACCAATTGCAGTTAAAAATAATTTGGTTCTTAATTATTAATCTTACGATTCTATACGGTTCAGTTAAGTTTTCATTTTTTACTACGTTCTTTCTTCATCACTATAATGCCTAGAAAAAGAAGTCGGCTTTCCAGTGCTTTATAATTTTTAAATTTAATAACTGGCAGAAGATAATAACAAACATAATCTATGGTCTTGCAATAAATAAATCTTATATTTCATTTTTATATCGTACCGAATCACTGCCTCCGTCACTTTAGTCTCTTACCAAAAAGAGACTAAAAACTCTTTTTGTCATGAAATGTAAAATATAATACAAAATGAAACTGGGACTTCTATTTATATCCGCACGTGTCATATCTGTACTAAACTCCAATACCTTTTTTTTTTTTTTTAAGGTGAAACTTCAATACCTATCTGATTTGATAGGACTTTTTATTAAGATTTCTTCTATTCTATACCTCTTTGAAATTGAATAGTAATAGTTATATTTGTATTTATTATTAGCTGGTGCTTGAAAAATATGAAATTTAGAATATGGCTTCTTTTACTCAATTTTCCAAAATAAAAGTAGCCTATGTTACTCCTTAGTACAACAGTTCCCTGCCAATAAATGTCTTGCAAAATCTATCCAGCTATTCCAGCGATTAGCCAGTACAAACAGACAGACGGACAGGAATTATAAAAAAAAATGTTATTTTGTCATGTGTATCGCTTGCATATGCATATAAATGCATGTAGTAAAAAGCGGTTATTTCAATTTTATAAACAGATACTCCAATTTTTATTTATCTGGATACACATATAACACTAGGATTTTAGGTCGCGGAGAACCTAACGGGTAACCGGGGCTCCGGCTCGACGTGCAGGAGAAGGAACGGGATGGATTTTAGTCAGTAAGAGTCTGACACTCCCTCCCGCCTCACCCAGGTGGGAGCAGTCAGTCGATAAATTTTCCCCCTTAAAAAAAGTACTAGGATTTTCTCATGTGTTGTGGATGCGTTTACCAACATACAAGTTCACATACACATTACACCCAGACCCGGAACAATAATCTGTGGATCACACAAAGAGTTGTTCCGTGTGGGATTTGAACCGCGACACGTTGAGCGGCAGCCAGTTGCCCAAACACCGCGCCAACCATGCAGTCAAGACATATATGGACATCATTCAATACAGGACAATTTTTTTTTTAATTCAATTTTGTCAATTTTTATTTGACTTTAACGCAGAGCCATTTTCAATCATACGATTATAAAATAAATATGCCCAATCATCTTAATTTAATTTTATACTCTACTTTCATAGAAATAAAGTCTTCATTCCATAAAGGAAGCAATTTGCATAGGTAGTAGATAATAACCCAGGAATAAACTTAGACTTTGTTTCATTGTAATATCTTAAAAGTTTCAAGCGTATGGAAACAGGATTACTGACTTGGGAATTGGTATCAAATGTGAGTTGTTTCTTATATCTCTCTATTATGTATATTTTAGAGGTTCATTATTATCTTAAACTCCTTGTCTGTCGGAACAAAAAGTCTAAGCAAGACGAATACGCACACACTCCTGTGTCGTGGGTGCGTGTAAAACATACAATTTCACATACACATGACCCCCAGACCCTGAACAACAATCTACGGATCACACAAAAAGTTGTACCGTGCGGGAATCGATCCCGCCACACGTTGATTTTGTCTCATAAAGTTATAGCCAAGAAAATAAAAATGGTCTAGAAAGAATGGGACAGATTGTTATGAAAGAAGACGATATTTGCACTCAGTTTTCTCAGCTAAGTTAGGATGAATACTGAGTGGTAAAAACTAGCTTTTATCAGCAGCTTCGCCTGCGTTCTTGTTAGATTAAAATTAGCCTATGTGTTATTCCGGACCATATTCTTAACCTGTTCTAAATTTCATCACGATCTCTTCAGCCGGTTCGACGTGATAGTCACAAACACACCCACACATCCTCACAAACTTTTGCAATTATAGTATTTTATAATAATATATTTTATATTTATAGAAGGAAGTAGGATATATAGCGCAGATACAGTTTGCTTAAGGATTAATCGAAAGAAACTGTATTTATATGTATATAAGAGAATATAAGAAATTACTGAACTCATTACACATTTAACATGACAACAAAATACTTTTTGTCAAACTATAAAGGCATAATATAAAATACATTAAGAATATTTACATTAAGAATTACGCTCGCGTCACATAATTTAAAAAAAACCATTATTATGTTCATTAGTTAACGTAATCGGTTTCCCAGTTACTATTAATGAAATACATTGTTATTTAGCAACAATTAATTACACGATAAAATAAATAAATCATCTAAAAAAATTCTTATAGTCTTATAAGACGTCATTTAGATGACAACGATTTGTGTCTACAAATTGTTTGTTATCCTCATTTCTAAGTAAATTATACCTTTTCATCATACGTATAATCGCCAGTATTCTCTGAATCAATTGGCAATTAGTGAGAATTTTGTTTCAGTAATGTTTTCGTTTATATTGTTGTCAGATTGCCTTTTACTAAAGGTTAGGTTAAGGCTAAGTTGGTGTGACCTTGAAATCAATTCTATAAACTCCTACTTGAATAAGGGCGAGCGAGAGCAAGAGATACTCAGATTAACCCTCTGCAACTGACGTGGTTTAATTATACAGCAAATATTTTTGTAGAATTAAAGTATAGCGAGCACTATACAGTAAGGTACTCGCAGCAGTGATGCTCGTATTTGAAAAATGACGGTATAACACGTGATTTTGTATATCGCGGTGTATACTTGGAAATAAAAACTAAAACGTTTCATGGCAGAAACGCTTTACAATTTCACCCCCTTCCTGACGTCAGATCGATCGGATTTTGGTACCTGCATACTTTTAGTCTTGATGACATACAATAATTATTAAACAAAATTAATCGAGGGTTACTCACGTGAACATATTGAGAAAAATAGTATAATAGTAGTTTCAATCCAGAGAGAAGAGTCTTGAGAGAGTCTTGGGGTCTTGAGCAAGAGGTCATGAGCAGCGTGGCGCGGCGATGTCGCGCAACCTACTCTTGCAGCGATTTTTAGTTAAATGTCTCACGATAGATATTAGAAAAACATGCAATAGTTATTATTATTTAATTTTTGTTCTACAACTATCTCCTTTGAATATATTTAACAAAAGGACTTGATTGGTAGATAGAGTTAATTAAGACTTTTTAACATAAAAATATTTTAATGTACTATCATATTATACTAGACTAGGTAAGCATTTTATTTACCTCTTACACAAAATCATACTCGATGGTGATATTAATCCAAACTAGAAGTATACGTAACTCTATACATTCACGTTGATATCTTCCCGATTTTAATATACTACTCTGTCCCGAAATACAAAGAACAGTCGCCGACGATCGCTACTAAACAAATAAAAGAACCAATAACGTTTTATGAGTCGTGTGTCTTATAAACGAGTCCGGTGGTAACCGCTAACATACCAAAACAAAACAATACAATATAAACTAACAGAAAATAAAATAAATGCCAACGTTTTCGGCGTGTATAACTAGCTGGAAGCTTTTTAAATTAAATTCGATTTTTACTTTTCAATTTTTCAATAAATCCTCCTATACTCGTTTTAGTTATTCGAAAAAAAAAACTAGGACATGCAGTAAAAACAGACTATTTCAGAGAAACGCCGTTTGTTTAGAATGCGAAATGGCATTGAATAAAAACCAAAATTCTAAATGGTTAAAGAGTATTAAAACAGTAATCAACGGATACTTTTTCAAAAGTACCTTCGAAATGGAACATGGTACCCTCCTGGGTGGCTGTGAAAAGAGCCCCGTTAGAGATTCCATTTGAAAAGAACAAACAGATGAGTAACCTCGTTCATCAACCCGCGAGAGCCCCTAGCGCTTAAGCGCGCCCTGTATAATGGCCAGTCTCATCGTAGACCGGCCGCTGGCGCACGCTTGCTACGCCGCCCGCTACGAACGCTACGCGCTACGAAAATACGCAATGAGTAAATACGCTACGAATAGTGCAGTGCTGAGTAATAAATAATAAAAATAAATTATAAAAAGTGTATCATATAATTTAAATGTATATAAGTGATTGTTTATTATTGTTGTAGAAATTAATATCGGTATAGTTTGTAAAAATGTTTAGCTTAAGGATTGACATTGGAATATTCATATTTCTACTAATAACACAAGGTAAGCGGAGATTTGTTTTTAAATAATTAAGGAAATTACAAAAAAATATTTCAGCATAAAAAAATCAACAAAGGATATTTGGAAGAAGTTTAGATTATTTTAACGTATAAATGGTATTTAAGCTTTTGTAATTTATTTTTCTGCACTTGTGTTTTTTTGGCTTACAGCATTTTTCAACAAAATTGTATGTCTCGCATATAAAGGTGTTACAAGATTATTTCAGCATTCAGCTGTTTCAGCCAAAGGATTTATTAGGATTATTCGGTAAAAAATCTGCGTATTTATAGTTTTTTTTAATTTATCTTATCCGCTTGATAAGTTTAACTGATTTTTTTTTGCGTTATTATTTCATTTATTTTCGCACATTTAGAAAAATGGTTATTTTTTGGGGCCAACAAAAATCAAGTTACCTAAACACCTACCAAATAGATTCCATAGAAACAAAAACGTCTATTCTCGAATGTTTTATGCACTAGCATAAAGTATTTTAAAATTACAAAAATGTAACGGAATGGAATCTAAAAATAAAATTTAATAACCGTTATGAATAAAACAAACAAATTAAATAAGAAAACGTGAAGGAAACAAACCAAAATTAAATTTCCTAATAATTACTTCATTGTTTTCACTTATTTTTCACCGAAGGCTATTTGTATAGAACTTCAGAGACTTGCTAAAGAAAGCAAAAAATATAAAAAAGTTGTTTCTAAGAAAATATATTTCCTATTTTTGCATCTGACCGGTAAGCAATTAGGGGGGCATTTATGAAGTAAATCCAGGTATTATGGAAGTATCTAGCGAAGTAACCCTTTGATAGGGTTAGTCCGCTTGTTCGCGTCCATAGCTGTATACTAAATACTACTTATATGTCGATAGTTTTCTGATTTTCGGGAATTTTTAAATGGTGTTTCATAACATGGACGTAAACTGGTGAGTGGAACAGTCGATCTTACCCTACTTTCGGTTATATATTTTGAACTTATACTTTATGAAGATAGGTACTCAAATAGTTACCATGTATCATCATTAGTTTGAGGGCGTATGTCGTCTGTATTTAGGTTGATACCTGGACTTTCCAAATGATTTATGAGGTCGTTATGTATGTACATTTATCACCTTAGAGAATGTTTTATTTTTTCAATTTTGATAGTTTTCAGTAATGTGAATTTGTAAAGTTGTTGAATTGTTTTGATATATTGTTCTTCTAGGGATGTATATCAGTCACATTTTATTTTTGGTTTATTTTTTTATTTAAGTCTTATACAATACAATTGCATAAGGAAGACTTAATGCTAACAGCATTCTCTGCCAGTCATCCTTTGGGTAGTGCAGAAATGTATGTGGTAGGTGGTAAGCTGCAAAATGTTAGTTGTACTTGTCCAAATTAATAAAAGAGCATCATAGCACACATAAAATACGTATATACCTCTAAATACATTATAGGACAATAAAGTCAAATTTTATTAGAAGATTTCTAGAATACAAATTAAAATAGATAGTTACGTTCTCCCCGTTTTTGGAGGTAATAGGTAATTGATAATTTGTATAATTGATAAGTTTTTTAAAAATTAACCATATCTTAAGAATAAATAATACTTTAGGTTAGTAGATATAAGTGTTAACCTAAACTAACCTTTAGATAAAATTAATAATGTTGTTATCTTTACTTACTGATTTGTCAATATAAACATTATTATAATTTTGCTAAATATGAAATCGGATATTATGCTACAATTCATGAAATTTTGAGGTAGTGATATCGTTGTTTTCATAGTACATCGACAGGTAGGCTGTTGAAGGGTCTTCTTTGTAAACTTTGTTCTAACTTATACCTGTTTTACAATACACCAGTTTGAAAGGAGTGGGTGTCTGTTCTTTGAGAAGCTTAGACTGTCTCGTCTCACTCAACTTTTTAGGTCAAATAATAGTGGATGGGTAAATTTGGTATAATAATCGGTCTTGTTATCGGAAATTTTGATTTTGAAAATATCAGCTGTCAGTTGTAGTCTAGAATTGACTTTGATGTATACCAATAGGTGCGGTTTTGCAAAGTACCTAATTGGTTGAGAAATTTTAGATAAAATATTTGTGACTATTTTGGGGGACCACAACAAGGACATTGAAAAAAAGTAATGTCACACGGAAATTTTTGAAGCACCAAAATGTCAATGGTGTATTTATGTGTGCGTGTACCTGAACATCGTATGTACGAAATGTCATGTCACACGACGGATGTCTATCGTGTCAATGTATGTGTATTCTGCGTGTAATCCTACAATAGCCAGATGCAACAGTCATTGTCCAAAAAAATATTCTTTTATAATATAATATTGATTGCTTTACACATTCTTCTAAACTAAACAGTTCATTTATTCTATAATCCGTTTACCTATCAACGAATAGAAATAATCTCACATAAGTAGATGAGAGATAGCATTCATAGTTGGATCTAGATATTGCAATATTTGCATAAACTTAAGCGATCTCGTTATTTGCCGGCCGTTTTAAACTAGGTTAGGGCCAGTGGTTAGCTTATACCAGTTATCGTGTACTTTATTACAATTTTTTTACGATAGCCATTTAAAAATAAATTAATATGACCATACGGTGGAATATAGAGCGTTGAGTAAGTGATTAATCAAGGACATAAGTGATTTGAATAAAGTTCTATAATTTGATTTTCCAATTTGGTTTTTAGGTTTGTAGTCCAGTAAATAATAGCGTAAAGTTTGCAACTTTAAACTGTCAAACACCAAGCGGTCACCGGTGACCGTAACCTATTGTTCTATAATTGTGTCTACAAAACCGGTACTCGACGAGTTAAATAAAGACATCTGTCACATGTAAAAAGCACTTAGTACAAATATTATACGCAACATGAACTATCAACATCAATAGTCTATAAATTGCCTACTGCTGACTCTTTAGTCAGCAGTAGGCAATTCCTCTTCTCACACGGAGAATGTTTGAGCATTCATCAACTCGCTAGCTTAACGCGGGTTGGCGATTTCATACTTTAAAAATTATAAGCCCAGGTTCCCTCACGATGTTTTCCTGAAACGTTTGTCTGTGGTGTCTAAATAATCTTAAAGAGTACTTACCGTTGGGAGGTTTCGAACTCGAACTCGCACCCTCGTGTATGAGAAGCTGGCGTCATAAATCTCCGGGCCACCACGACGGTTGAACTATGGATTAAACTGTCAAACACCAAGCGGTCACCGGTGACCGCAACCTATTGTTTTATAATTGTGTCTACAAAACCGGTACTCGACGAGTTAATATTCTTATTAAACGGTCAATGTACGACACAAAGTACAGCAAAGTTTGCCCACTGTCTACCAGACCTTAGAATATGTTTTGAACGCGTGCCAATTCCAAGATAGTTCTATTAAGAAGATGTAAGTTTGAACTTATGACTCACATGGGGTTTGGCTTGGAAGTTTCCAAATTTATTCTTAGATGTTTTTTGTGGATATTTATTGTGATGTTTAGAAAAGTCTTTTGTTTATTACATGTGATCTTTTTTTTCTTTTCTTCTTTGTTAAAAAACGTTGCCCCACACTAGAATTTTGTGCCGCGGAGGACTTAACGTGTTGCCAGGGCTTCAGCTCGATGTGCAGGAGCAGGAACGGGTTGGGTTTTAGTCAGTAACAGTCTGATAATCCCTCCCGCCTCACCCAGAGAAGTCATTCGATGATTTTCCCCCCTTAATAAAACACTAGAATTTTCTCGTGGCATGGGTGCAGTTACAAACATACAATTTACATGCACATTGCACCAAGACCTGAAACCATCATTGATAGATCATACAAACAGTTGCTCCGTACGGGTATATCAAACCCACTATATGTTACGCGGCAGCCGGTTTCTCAGCCACCGCAATAACCGTGCAGTCAAAAGACAAAAAATATTGATTAGAAACCACATTTTTTCATTACACATGTTCATTTGTTGATTTTCAAAGTATTCGTCATTGTTATTGTGAATTGGAACAGTCACAGTACTACAGACTCTTTTCAAAACGCCTTTTACACGTGACGAGGAAAATACTTTTATTGTACTGATTTGAACCTCATTGTAGGTAGAAAAGAAAGATTTCTTATTTGTTCGTTACTGAACATAATGTGTAAGGTCTAAAAATAATAATTCCAAAACCTTTCATCTATACATCCGTATAAAATCAGACAATTGACCTCAATCTCAGAACAAACCAGGTAATGTCAAGCCAACGTGTATATGTTTCGAGAATAAATCGATTTCGATAAATCCGAGTACTAAAATAAGTCAAAAGTAACATTTCATTCGAGTACATTCTAGTTTGAGCCGGTACACATTTGGTGGAACGACTTTCCTGTGTGACAGACTAATGTGTCGCGTTTCCTGCCAAAGCAATATTAGGATTCTGAACTCAGTAGTTACTTACGTGTCTAGATTTGAAGTCTAGCGTGTTGTAATCGACTTGTGTCTGACAGAAGTCACATGAATTCGACGCCGAGTCTTTTATTTAACATTTCTATAGGGTAACCTTTAGAGGGGCTACGATGAGACAACAACGACTTATCGTTATTAATATTATGAGCTTTTTAATTGCGAGTATGTTAATATAGTCAAACATGACTAAAGCTTTGTTATCGGTGATAAGCGTCGATTTATAATTACTAATTACCCTTTCCCCCTTGCAATCTCCCCAATCCCTGAATATCCAACAATCCTCAAATTATCAATTCAATTTAAACGTTGACCTACCAAGAATAAAAAAGCCAAATCCCCAGAGGTCCTCCCTGTAACGCACTTGTAACACCTTTAGTGTTCCGGGTGTTTTTGAGCGACGCTGATTGGTTACCATTTTACAGACTTTAGTCCCAATTAAACTTTGAATTATTTTTGCCCTATTTAGATTTTCTTATAACACGAATGGGCCACTACAAGTATACCACCAGGAGGACCATCTGCTCGTTTACCAGTTTATCCCATAAAAAACTAACTACTCACAAACATTA